ATATTGGCTGTGGGTTTGTCATAGATAGTTCGTATTATTTTGAGGTATGTTCCGTGAATACCTAGTTTATTGAGAGTTTTTAACATGAAGGGATTATTGAATTTGATCGAAGGCTTTTTCTGTGTCTATTGAGATAATTATGTGGTTTTTGTCTTTAAATCTGTTTATGTGAAGAATTATGTTTATCGATTTTTGTATGTGAACCAGCCTTGCATCCTGGGAATAAAGCTGACTTGATTGTGGTGGATAAGCTTTTATGTGTTGCTGGATTCAGTTTGCAAGTATTTTATTGAGAATTTTTATACTGATGTTTATCAGGGATATTGGCTTGAAGGCTTTTTTGTTTGTTTTCTTCTGTTTTTTTGTTGTATATCTGCCAGGTCTTGATATCAGGATGATGCTGGTCTCATAGAATGAGTTAAGGAGAGGCCCCTCCTTTTCTATCATTTGGAATAGTTTCAGAAGAAATGGTACCAGATCCTCTTTGTACCTCTGGTAGAATTCAGCTATAAATTCATCTGGTCCTGGACTTTTTATGGTTGGTAGGCTATTGACTATTTGTTACCGCCTCTATTTCAGAACTCGTTATTGGTCTTTTCAGGGATTCAATTTCTTCCTGTTCAGACTTGAAAGGATAGATGTGTCCAGGAATTTATCCATTTCTTCTAGGTTTTCCAGTTTTTGTGCATAGGTGTTTGTAGTACTTTCCAAAGGTGGTTTTTATTTCTCTGGGGTCAATGGTGATCCCTTTTATCATTTTTTATTGTCTGTTTCATTCATCTCTATTTTATTAGTCTAGCTAGCATCTATTTTATTAATTTTGTCAAAATAACATCTCCTGGATTCATTGATTTTTTTTTTTTTTTTTTGAAGGGTTTTTTGTGTCTCTGTGTCCTTCATTTCCAGTCTGAATCTGGTTATTTCTTATCTACTGCTAGCTTTAAGGTTTGTTTGCTCTTGGTTTTCTCGTTCTTTTAGTTGTGATGTTAGGGTGTCCCTTTGAGGTCTTTCTGGCTTTTTCATTTGGGTATTTAGTGTTATAAATTTCCCCATTAACACTGCTTTAGCTGTGTGCCAGAGATTCTGATACATTGTCTCTTCATTCTTATTGGTTTCGAATAATTTTTTGATTTCTGATTTTTTTTTTTTTTTTTTTTTTGAGACAGAGTTCTTCTCTTGTCACCCAGGCTGGAGTGCAGTGGCACAATCTCGGCTCACTGCAACCTCCGCCACCCAGGTTCAAGTGAGTCTCCTGCCTCAGCCTCCCGAGTAGCCGGGATTACAGGCACCCACCACCACGCCCGGCTAATATTTTGTATTTTTAGCAGAGATGGTATGTTTCACCATGTTTGCCAGGCTGGTCTCGAATCCTGACCTCTAGTGATCCACCCACCTTGGCCTCTAACTGAGACCATCCTGGCCAACATGGTGAAACCCCATCTCTACTAAAAATATAAAAAATTAGCCGGGTGTGGTGACGCGTGCCTGTAGTTTCAGCTACTCGGGTGGCTGAGGCAGGAGAATCACTTGAAGCCAGGAGGCAGAGGTTGCAGCGAGCCAAGATTGCACTACTGCACTCCAGCCTGGCGACAGAGCCAGACTCTGTTTCAAAAAAAAAAGTGCTGGGATTACTGAGCCATCACATGCCTGGTGAGTTTCTTACTCTTTAGTTTTAATTTGATTTCATTGCAGTCTGAGAGAATGTTATGATATCAGTTCTTTTGCATTTGCTGAGAAGTGTTTCACTTCCAATTATGTTATCAATTTTTTTCTTTTCTTTCTTTTTTTTTTCCTTGAGAGTCTCGCTCTGTTGCCCAGGCTGGAGTGCGATAGCACGATCTCAGCTCACTGCAACCTCCACCTCCCGGGTTCAAGCCATTCTGCTGTCTCAGCCTCTTGAGTAGCTGGGATTACAGGCGCATGCTGCCACGCCTGGCTAATTTTTTGTATTTTTAGTAGAGATGGGGTTTCACCATGTTCCCCAGGCTGGACTTGAACTCCTGAGCTCAGGCAATCCACCCACCTTGGCCTCCGAAAGTGCTAGGATTACAAGGTGAGTCACCATGCCCAGCCATGTGATCAATTTTAGAGTAAGTGCCATGTGGAACTTGGAAGAATGTGCATTGTGTTGTTTGTGGCTGAGTTCAAGCCTTGTTACTTTTCTGTCTCAATGATCTGTCTAATATTAACAGAGGGGCATTAAAGTCTCTCACTATTATTATATGGAAGTCTAAGTCTCTTTATAGTTCTCTAAGAATGTGTTTTATGAATCCGGGTGCTCCTTGAATTGATCTCTTTACCATTATGTAATGCACTTCTTTGTCTTTTTTGACCTTTGTTGATTTAAAGTTTGTTTTGTCAGAAACTATGATTGCAGGCCGGGCGTGGTGGCTCACGCCTGTAATCCCAGCACTTTGGGAGGCCAAGGCAGGCAGATCGTGAGGTCAGGAGATCGAGACCATCCTGGCTAACACAGTGAAACCCTGTCTCTACTAAAAATACAAAAAATTACCTGAGAGTGGTGGCGGGCGCCTGTAGTCCCAGCTACTCGGGAGGCTGAGGCAGGAGAATGGTATGAACCCAGGAGGCAGAACTTGCAGTGAGCTGAGATCGCACCACTGCATTCCAACTGGGCAACAGAGTGAGGCACCGTCTCAAAAATAAAAAAGGAACTATGATTGCAACCCCTGCTTTTTTTTCTGCTTTTATGTACTTTGTCAATTTTCCTCCATTCCTTTACTTTGAGCCTACACTTGTCTTTTTATGTGAAATAGGTCTCCTGAATACAGCACACAAATGGGTCATGACTCTATCCAGCTTGCCCTTCTGTGTCTTTCAATTGAGGCATTCAACCGATTACATTTAAGGCTAATATTGTTATGTGTGATTTTGATTCTATCCAAGTGGTGCTAGCTGCTTATTTTGCAGAGTCATTGATGTAGTTGTTTTATAGCATCGTTCATCTTTGTACTTCACTGTGTTTTTGCAGTGGCTGGTAATAGTTTTTCTCTTTCCATATTTATTCCTTCTTTCATAGCTCTATCTAGTAAGGCAGGCCTGGTGGTCATGTATTCCTTCAGCATTTGCTTCTCTGAAAAGAATTTTATTTTTCTCCGCTTATGAAGACTTAGTAATGTTATTTTATTGTTTTATTTGATTCTTGTATCTTTGTTCCTCATTTTCTCTTTTTCTTTGTGTCTTTTTTATACTTACCTTGATATGCTTTTACTTCTTTCTTACTTTGTTTTGTGTATCTATATAGATATATTCTTGATGGTGTATTGGGAATTACATAAAACCTCTAAAAGCTACAACAGTGTATTTTAATCTGGTAAAAAATGAACTTCAGCTGGATTCATAAATTTTTTCTCATTATATCTGCCCTCAAATTTGTCATTGATGTTGCTAATTATATGTTTTGTTGTATATTCATTAACAAATGTTTATAATTATTTCTATTCTTTTACCTTTCAAATTTTAGAGAATAAATAAAAATGTTTTGTGCCATATTATTATAATGCTAAGAAATTCCATTTTTGTGTATGTGCATTTTTTTCCCCAGAAAATAATGTATATGATATAATTATTTATAAAATTATTTTGTTTAATCATATTATTTTCAGTAGAAGCAACTGCTTTCCGCATCTTTTATGTTTAGGGCATATGAAGTGCCAATATATTTTTTCAGAATTTGGTTGTTTTTGAAGGTTTTTTTCTTTTTATTTGGCAGGACTGTTATTATTCTGACTTCATAGCTATTTTTTTTTAGGACTTTGACTATATCACACAGTTTCCTTCTAGCCTGCAAAGGTTTTGTTGACAGTTGACTGATTGTCTTATAAGACTATGCTTGTAAATGACACACCATTTTTATCTTGCAGCTCCATTCTCTTCTTGTCTGTGGCTTTTGAAATTGTGCTTATATATGTGTTTGTTATAAATATCTTTGTGTGTATCCTAATTGTTTGTTGAGCTTCTTCATTTTGACATTATTTTTTCTTTCAGAATTTTTGAGTGATATTTTCTTTTGATATTTTTTACCTTTTACAATTTGTTTTTTTGGATATTTTGAATATTTTTTTCTTATCTTCAGTTTTTTCTGATTTTCTGTAGTTCTCTGTATTCCTAATTTACTCATTGAGTATTCAGTTTATTTTTAATTTTTAAAATTAGTATATACTTATTTTTGGTTTCTTTCTGACAATTTTATATTTTTGATAGAATCATTTTGCCCTATTTTGTATTCATTGTAATCTTTGATTAAAATTCGGGCATTAAATAAAGCTACCTGACACAATTTTTATCATGTAGCTTTCTCCTGGCATAGTCTGAAAACAATTATCTCGGATCCTGGGAGATTCTCAAACATGTTCTTAGAATGTATCTTGTCTAAAATTTTGTGTTTACATTTTAGTTAAAGGAATTCATTTCTGCTTCATCTTAATCAGTAACCATTTGCTATATCTGTTTTCTGTCTGTTGTACTGCAGTCTCTCTGCTGCTGTAACATTTACTGTTGGTCTCAGCAGACCCAAACTGTAATTCCAAAATATACCACCATTTTTTTCAGCACTTTATGTTATGGGAGACCAGTTTCTGGAAAGGCCTCTAGTAGCAAGTAATGTAGATATATGTGCCAGTATTGTATTTGTTTACTAAAAAAGAAACCAAAAGTTAGCAATTTACGTGGAAAGGCACTATGTTATATTGGGGAGTAGGAAGAACTGTGTTGGGTAAATGTAACAGACTTTTCTTTTTCTTCTGTGTCTTTGCATTCTTGTGTACTCACCTAGGGAAATTTACACAGTTATTTATAAGTTTTCCTCATGTATTTTGGTCAGTATGTTTTTATTATATTTATATGTCTATGAAGGATTTAGGGCCTGTGGTATTTTATTATGGCATCTTGCTTATGTAGTTTGTATAATATAGGTTAGATTTGTAAAGTATGTTTATCAGAGTCTAGTAAATTGAATAATTTGTTGTTTTTATTTCTTTCAGCTATGTGTTCTTATTTTACCAAAGACCTTTGGCCAGAGCAAGACATAAAAGATTCTTTCCAACAAGTGATACTGAGAAGATACAGAAAATGTGAACATGAGAATTTACAATTAAGAAAAGGTTCCGCAAGTGTAGATGAGTGTAAGGTGCACAGAGAAGGTTATAATGAACTAAACCAGTGTTTGACAACTACCCAGAGCAAAATATTTCAATGTGATAAATATATAAAAGTCTTTCATGAAAATTTAAATTCAAATAGACATAAGACAAGACATACTGGAAAGAAACCTTTCAAATGTAAAAAATGTGACAAATCGTTTTGCATGCTTTTACACCTAAGTCAACATAAAAGAATTCATATTAGAGAGAATTCTTACCAATGCGAAGAATGTGACAAAGTCTTTACGCGGTTCTCAACCCTTACTAGACACAAGAGAATTCATACTGGAGAGAAACCCTTCAAATGTAAAGAATGTGGCAAAGCTTTTAAGCACTCTTCAACCCTTACTACACATAAGATGATTCATACTGGAGAGAAACCCTACAGATGTGAAGAATGTGGCAAAGCCTTCTGCCATTCCTCACACCTTACTACACATAAGATAATTCATACTGGAGAGAAACCTTACAAATGTGAGGAATGTGGCAAAGCTTTTAACCAATCCTCAAACCTTAGGAAACATAAGATAATTCATACTGGAGAGAAACTCCACAAATGTGAAGAATGTGGCAAAGCTTTTAACCGATCCTCAAACCTTACTACACATAAGAGAATTCACACTGGAGAGAGACCCTACAAATGTGAAGAATGTGGCAAAGCTTTTAACCGATCCTCAAACCTTGCTAAACATAACATAATTCATACTGGAAAGAAATCTTACAAACATGGAGAATGTGGTAAAACCTTTAACCAGTCCTCAACTCTTACTAAACATAAGAAAATTCAGCAGGACGTGGTGGCTCACACCTGTAATCCCAGCACATTGAGAGGACAAGGCGAGCAGATCGCAAGGTCAGGAGTTTGAGACCAGCCTGGCACATGGTGAAACCCTATCTCTACTAAAAATACAAAAATTTGCTGGGTGTGGTGGCGGGCACCTGTAATCCCAGCTACTCAGGAGGCAGAAGCAGGAGAATCATTTGAACCCAGGAGGCACAGTTTGCAGTGAGCCAAGATCGTGCCATTCTACTCCAGCCTGGGCCACAAGGCAAGACTCTGTCGCAAAAAAAAAAAAAAAAAGGAAAATTCATCCTGGAAAGAAACCTCATAACTGTGAAGAATATCGCAATGCTTTCAACCAGTCCTTGAATCTTATTGAAAAAAATAATTCACACTGGAGAGAAACTACAAATGTGAAGAATGTGGCAAAGCCTTTAACCAGTCTTCAGACTCTTACTAAGCATTAAAAAAATTCATACTGTACAGAAACCCTATGAGGGTGAAAAACATGGCAAAGCCTTTAACAGGCTTTCAATTCTTAACAGACATAAGATAATTTATACTGGAAAGAAATTCTACAAACAAGAAAGATGTGACAATGCTTTTGACAACACCTCAAACTTTTCTAACCATAAAAGAAATTATGCTGGTGAGAAATCTTAGAAATCTGAAGAATGAGACAAAGCCTTTAAATGGTTGTCACATTTGATTGTAGGTAAGATAATTCATACTAGAGAAAACACCTACATGTGTGAACAATGTGGCAAAACTTAACCAATGCTCACACCTTATTGCACAGGAAAGCATTTATACTTGAGATAAATTATACAAACATAAAGACTGAAAAAGTCATTAATATATGTTCATGTCTTAACACTAGAGAGTTCATACTTAATAAAATCATTGTATGTACAATTACTGTCAAAAGATCTTTCAGAAAATACAAGCTTTTGACTAGGCGTGGTGGCTCAGGCCTGTAATCCCAACACTTTTGTAGGCCAAGGCAGGTGGATCACGAGGTCAGGAGTTTGAGACCAGCCTATCCAAGATGCTGAAACCCCATCTCTACTAAAAATATAACAATTAGCCGGGCATGGTTGTGATGCCTGTAATCCTAGCTACTCAAGAGGCTGAGGCAGGAGAATCACTTGAAGTCAGGGAGGGAGAGGTTGCAGTGAGCTGAGATTACACCACTGCACTCTAGCCTGGGCCACAGAGCAAGACAACATCAATAAAAAAAAAAAGAAAAGAAAATACAAACTTTTACAGTGAAGAGTATTTATTTTGAAGATGAACATTATAAATATAAAGAGGGTTGTAGTGCCTTTATTTGTTTCATAGATCTTATTGTAGACATTTTTTGTACAGGAAAAACTCTGAAGCAGTTTCTCACACATTGTTCAATATCAGGGAATTCATGTTGAAGAAAAATCGTGCAAATATGTAATAAATTTGGAAAAACACTCTTTCAGAAACTACAGCTTAGAAAAATGAGAGTCCATGGCTGGGCGTGGTGGCTCACGCCTGTAATCCCAGCACTTTAGGAGGTCGAGGCAAGCAGATCACCAGGTCAGGAGATCAAGATCATCCTGACTAACACGGTGAAACCCCGTCTCTACCAAAACATACAAAAAATTAACTGGGTGTGGTGGCAGGCACCTGTAGTCCCAGCTACTCGGGAGGCTGAGGCAGGAGAATGGTGTGAACTGGGGAGGCAGAGCTTGCAGTGAGCCGAGATCGCACCACTGCACTCCAGCCCGGGCAACAGAGTGAGACTCTGTCTCAAAAAAAAAAAAACAAAAAAAAAAAACCACAAAAAAACACAATAAATTCATCACGTCGATTCTAAGTAACATTAAACATGTTTTATTAAACATTGTGATTTTAATTTTTAAAAGATGAGATCTGTCACTTCTGTCAAAATACCTACCTTGGAAAAAAAGAAAATAGGATGCAGGAAAACATCAAGTGGCAATTGTTGCTACATAGCTAGAAGGCTACATATGTTTCAGTTATTAGACAACCATTTTGATACTGTGTGGCTTTTAAAAAGATTACTGCCCCTGTATTGGGACATAAATCTTAACAATACATACAATTTGACAACTTGAAATTTATTGGTATTGTTATGAGCTGTTTAACTGACAAAGTTTTACTTTGACATTTGAATAAAACATCTAATATGCAATTTGCTTAACACATACTTTGCATATCGACTCCTATAATATAAACTTATTGTAACAATGGGAATATAAGATATAAAGATATTTTTACATAGTAGAAGTGAACCAGTGAATCCTTTGAGATGAAATGTGAAATCCTGGCAGGGAGGGGAAAAGAACAGAACATATTAACAGAGTGCCCTAAGATGGTCTGGGAATACTTACCCCAGATCAATATTTCATCAAGCAGATCACATAGCAAAGCTACTAATATTATTAAGCACTGAACCTAAGGTATGTAAATAGAGAGTAAAAATTTGTAATACGCACACACACAAAAAGTTCATACTAGAATATGTTTTTGCAGATGCAGTAAAAGTAAAAAATATTTAATCCATAATTAAGTCTGTGTAAATATCAGAGAATTTGCGGTAGAAATACATAAGGCACTGACACGTCAGATATACTAAATCAGAGGGCTGAGTATAGAAAATAAAACCAAAGGTAGAAAAATTATTTGTATATAACTTTACGAGGGTCAGAAGGTTTTTTGCAGTTACAATTACATTCAAAGTATACTTTATTTCTTGAAAAATATTACAGATTTTTTGAAAAGTAAATAATGATGTCATTCAACTCTGAAATAGTCTCCTGCTGTTTCTTCATTTCCTATTGGATTCGTGTGTGAAAGTATGGGATCAGTTGTTGCTGTATCAAAGATATGAGAAATTCTTTTTTTGTTTTGTTCTGTTTATTGAGATGGAGTTTTGCTCTTTCGCCCAGACTGGAGTGCAGTGGTGTGATCTTGGCTCACTGCAACATTCGACTTCCAGTTGCAAGCGATTCTTCTGCCTCAACCTCCCGAGTAACTGAGATTACAGGTGCACACCACCACACCCAGCTAATTTTTGTATTTTTAGTAGAGACAGCATGTCATCGTGTTGGCCAGGCTGGTCTCGAACTCCTGACATCGTGATCCACCCACCTCGGCCTCCCGAGGTGCTGGGATTACAGACATGAGCCACTGCTCCTGGCAAGAGATTCTTTTTTATTAGGTGGGCATTATTTGTGATCTTTTCTATTGAAAAGTAAAGACATTAGAATGTAAGATGCATAGTGAAAATATAAGTGGAGAGGCTCTTTGGAGTTAACTTACAATTTTGAGTGATGCATGAGGTTGGTGTTCAGAGTAATTCTGCATTATGAAAAAACGTTTAATTTTATTTAAAATTAAATTTAGTATATTATCGTACTTACTGTACTTTTATATGATAAGATGCAGTACATTTTTAAAATTTTAGATTGTGTGAAGTTAATAGTTTACCTTAACATTTTTAACATGTTAAATACTATTGTGCATTCAATGAAGCATTGTTATACCACAAACTTTACCCTCTTCAACCTTACTCAAGGGTATAGGTAAAAGATGTAACAATATACTATTTAGTAACACGATGGATTAACATCTGTAGTAATTTTTTTTTTTTGCCAGTGGCTTTAAACTGCAAATAAGTTAAAGAATATTTCTGTAGGTTAAATTTTTATTTTGTTTTTAATCATTTAAATTTATTTTGATTTTGGTGGGTACATGAGTATATATGCACTATATGGCATATTTTAATACAAGAATACAATATATAATAATATCAGGGTTAAGTGAGGCATCCATCACCTGTAACATTTCTCCTTTGTTTTACAAAGAATCTAATTCTACACTTTTTTTTATTTTTTATTTTTATTTTTATTTATTTATTTTTTTGAGACGGCATCTCACTCTGTTGTCCTGGCTGGAGTGCAGTGGCACCATCTCGGCTCGCTGCAAGCTCCACCTCCCGGGTTCACACCATTCTCCTGCCTCAGCCTCCCAAGCAGGTGGGACTACAGGCACCCACCACCATGCCCGGCTACTTTTGTATTTTTAGTAGAGACGGGGTTTCACTGTGTTGACCAGGATAGTCTTGATCTCCTGATCTTGTGGTCCACCCACCTCAGCCTCCCAAAGTGCTGGGATTACAGGCGTGAGCTACCGTGCCCAGCCACTTTTTAAAAATTTTAAAATATACAATTAAATTGTTATTTACCATAGGGTTATTTTTATGGTTGTGATAAAAATATATGAGCAAAAATAAAATTCATTTCTAAACTCTTAATATTTTTTCAAATTTGCTATATGTTTTTCTTTGAACATGTGGCCTGTCTGCCTGCAAACACACAGACTTTTTGATTCACATAGAGTTAAATATATATTAGTCTAAAGACAAACTTTAGATGTAAGAAAATTATGGAATAAGCGTGCGTGTGTGTGTGTGAGTTTGTAACTATTTTCAAAAGAAAAGAATAGGCCAGGTGTGGTGGCTTAAGCCTGTAATCCCAGCACTTTGGGAGGCCGAGACAGGCGGATCACAAGGTCAGGAGATCGAGACCATCCTGGCTAATCCGGTGAAACCCCGTCTCTACTAAAAAATACAAAAAACTAGCCGGGCGAGGTGGCCGGCGCCTGTAGTCCCAGCTACTCGGGAGGCTGAGGCAGGAGAATGGCGTGAACCCAGGAGGCGGAGCTTGCAGTGAGCTGAGATCCGGCCACTGCACTCCAGCCTGGGCGACAGAGTGAGACTCCGTCTCAAAAAAAAAAAGAAAAGAAAAAAGAATAATATGGTAACAAAAATCATTTTAATAAGGTGACTACTATAAAACAACCTAAAAAATACCAAAAGCAAATGTATACTTTGTGCTTTGTCTTGAATTTATTACTGTACAATCCATGACTTACAGTTCTGAATCTTTTCATGCAAACTGTATATACTTGCCTGATACTCATGCTAGACCCATACTTTGTTTCTTACATATTTTTTTGTTTTATAGTTTAGGAAGTATTATATGAGCTGGTCTGTGATTATAAGAATTTTATGAAATTTAGTGCACACAAAATAATTTTTAGGTGTAATTCCAAAAGTAATGTATTAGGTTACATTTTACTTAGAGCAGTTGATTGTTCTTTTAAGGAGAGAACAATAAGTTTTGAGTTTTCTTTAGTGATTGTTCCTTTCACTTTTTATAATTGACATGAGTATATTTATTTATTGAGTCAATTTGTTCAGGTAAGTACTAGGGATGCTTCATAAGTCATGAGGATTTTTAATATAAAAATGTGGCAAACATATTACAGTTCTTACTGTGTAATCAATGCTCCATAATAATTCATAAGTATTCCTGCTGGAGTTAGTTTGTAATTTCAACTCAGATGAAAAATATCAATGGTGAAGAAATAAGATTGATTCTTCATATGGAGTGAACCTTTTTTCCAGACTATAAAACAATTTTGCTGAATTTATAGAGAAATTCTGGCCGAGGCAGATGGATCACCTGAGGTCAGGAGTTTCAGACCAGCCTGGTGAAACCTGGTCTCTAGGAAAACTACAAAAATTAGCTGAGTGTGGTGGCATCCACCTGTAGCCCAGCTACTCAGGAGGCTTAGGCAGGAGAATTGCTTGAACCCGGGAGGCGAAGGTTGTGGTGAGCCGAGATTGTACCATTGCACTACAGCCTGGGTGACAGAGCAAGACTCCTCAGAAAAAAAAAAAGAGAAATTCTGCTGATTTTCTACTTCAGATATGTTTCTCTTATGTATTTTCCAACTATATGCATCACAGCTCTTCTTCTGAATTATAGCTACAGTTTTCTCACTGTTCTCTTCACTCCGTTTGATTTCACATGGTACTTTCTAGATTTTGATGAGAAAATTCTATTTTTAGTGCGCTCAAAAATGGATTTTAACTGGAGAGTTTGCTTATCAATATAACTTTCAGATTAATTAAGATAAAAGGCAGCCAGGTGTGGGCTCACTCCTGTAATCTCAGCACTTTGGGAGGCCCAGGCAAGTGGATCACTTGAGGTCAGGAGTTCGAGACCAGCCTGATCAACATGGTGAAACCCTGTGTCCACTACAAATACAAAATTAGCCGCATGTTGTGGCTTATGCCTGTAATCCCAGCTACTTGGGAGGCTG